TTAAATCTTTCTAAAGTTGAATAACATTTAGGCAAGTGTTTTTTTTAAATAACTGACAAAGCCTTTCACTTTTTCCTTAACCGACTTTATGGTTTTGTTATCTAAATGTTTTTGTGCGATCACTCTCAATATGTGCTGTTGTAAGGCGTCTTCTGAGCGATTGTTGTTGCTCCAAATGTCAACCAGCTCAGCACGACTGAACACATATTGTACTAGAAAATTTTGATTTTTTCGAAAACGTGTGGATTCGGACAAAAATGGTTAGTTTCTCATTAATCTGCACACTTTGGTTAATAGTTTCTCATTAAGAACTTTTTGCAACACTTTGCCATGTAAAAGTACTGATCCACGAAACACAACTACACTTGTTAAGCTCGTTCTAAAAATACACATAAACAAAACACGGTACAATTAAAGAAAATCAAACATAACAACGACACAAACATTGGTAAATTTTAGTTTTACATACCTGGACAATCGTTTTCCATATTTATTCACTGTACTTTTTGGTAAACTTTTGCCAAAACAAACGCCAATTTCATACAAAACAGCTGGTTCATAATCAGCTGACTTTAACAGCTCGCTAGCAGAACAGAGTTGCTCCATATGTTAAAGTTACATATTTTTTTATCTGTCTAGGGTGTTTATAAAAAAAAATAAAAAAAAATTTAAGATACAAAACAAAAAAAAATTGAATTTATGCTAAAAAAAACGCGAAAAAAAACCATAGTGCACTGGTTGCCACTTCGGAATCGCCTAAACCACTGTTCGGCGGTTTGAATCGAAAGTTTGTTATCTCCTAAGACAGCAATAATCTGTCTGCGAGATTCCGCAGCAGTTTTTCCCTGTGCGAAATAAAATTTCAAAATTGGCCGAATTTCTGCGTTTGTGAACTCCATTTCAATCGATTATAATTTTTTAACGTGGAAGCTCATGTAAACAAACAAAGATGACAAAAACAAAGGTGATACCAATACTCTTCAAACGATATATAGCACTGCCAGATACGATTATATTTGACTTCACAAGCGAAGCGCAAAATTTGAATGTAAAAACCGGTATGTCATTACCAAACAACCTAATATACAAGGTTCGGCTTGCCGAAGCTAGCTTCCTTTCTTATTTTGCTTTTACGATTAATAAATTCCAAGGACACACCCTAAAACTAAAAAATTTAAAAAAAAACTCTTCCTGATTACGTGTTGAAATTTTGAAAACGATCGTTTCAGTAGATTTTGAGTTCTGATGTTCACCGACTTTAATAATGTCTTCGGAAAATCGATTTGAAGTTTTTTTATACATATGTACGTCAAAATTGCATAATAAAAACGACCAGGTTGTATTTTGTTCTATCATTATACCCTTGCAGAGCAAAAGGGTATTATAATTTCAGTCAGAAGTTTGCAACGCAGTGAAGGAGACACCTCAGACCCCATAAAGTACCTATATATTATATACTCTTGTTCAGCATCACCATCTGAAGCCAAATACGTATGTACGTCTGTCCGTCTGTCTGTCTGTCCGTCTGTCTGTCTGTTCGTCTGTCCATCTGTCCGTCTGTCCGTTTCTCATTAAACTAGTCTCTCAGTTTTAAAACTACCTTGCTGAAACTTTACAAAAAGTTGTGTTGTTATTGCACGCAGTATATAAGTCGGAACGGGCCGGATCGGGCTACTATATAGGATAGCTCCCGTACAAGAGGTCAAAAAAATTTGACTCGATTTCTTCCAGATGTTGTTTTCTAACTACTATTGAAATTCAGATTAAATTTTATCAAAATCGGATAACTCTATCATCTAGCTGCCATAGGGAAGATAAAAAAAATATATATTAATAATGGAAAAAAATTATAACGTCGTTGTTTTTAATCTCACGAGCATGATTTTCAAAATATTGAGCTTTATAATAACCCTTGAATCAAGAAAAAAATTTCATTAAGATCCGACAACATTATCATATAGCTGCCATAGGAAAGATAAAAAATCTATATAGAAGTAACGGAAATAAAATTATAACATCGTTGTTTTTCATCAGACGAGCAATACAGGGTTGCCCATATTCGACGGACCCATCTGACGACGCCATAACTTTTGACAGAGATGGCAGATCGCTTAATGACATACCGCGTTTGAAGCGTCAGTCCAAGCAGATTTTTACCATGGAACAATACACGCCACGCGAGCGCTCTGAAATAGTTGAAATTTACATTCAACAGAACAAGTCAATTGTGGAAACTCAACGTGCTTTTAAAATGAAGCCCATTTCACATTGAATGGGACCGTAAATAAGAAAAATGGCCGTATTTACGCCACTGAAAATCCTGAGAAGATTCAAGAAGTGCCTCTTCACGACGAAAAAGTCACAGTTTGGTGCGGCGTTAGTTCGAAAACCAAATTGAAAATGGCCATGCTGTTACCATCAACCAGGAGCGTTATCGCGACATGATGACCAATTTTGTGATGCCAATTATTCGTCGAAAGCGTATGAGGCAGTTCTGGTTTCAACAAGACGGCGCTCCACCGCACACAAGTCGCATAACAATCGATTTTCTGAAGAAATTGTTTCCGGGCCGTTTGATGTCGAAAAGTGGTGATTTGGACTGGCCACCGCGTTCGCCCGATTTGACGCCGCCTGACTTCTTCTTGTGGGGATATTTGATGTCAAAGGTTTACGTTAACAAGCCAAGGACCCTAGAAGAGCTCAAGGACAACATTCGTGAAGAAATAGCCGCTATTCCGGCCGAAATGTTGGCGAAAACGATGGAAAATGCTGCAAAAAGGGCACAATACGCCATCAACGCCAGAGGCGGCCATTTGCAAGATATCATATTCAAAAATTGATGTAAACAAATCTACTTGGAACAAATTAAATGATTAAGATTGCCAACCGCCAAATGTTTATTTTTTTCTTTGATTTAAAAAAAAACAAGAAAGGAAGCTAGCTTCGGCAAGCCGAAGCTTATATACCCTTGCAGTCATCAAATATGTCGAACAAAATGCATAAAGGCTAAACAACATCGAAGCTATAACGATTTTTCTATTCATTTTCCATATTTCCGACTATAGATCATATGGGAGCTATATGATATAGTTGTCCGATTTTGATCAAATTTAATTCGTACTTTAAGACTCGTAAGAAAACTCTATATTTCAAAAATCATACTTGTCTGATGAAAAACCACGATGTTATAATTTTACTTCCGTTATTTCTATATAGATTTTTCGATCTTTCCTATGACAGCTATAAGATATAGTTGTCCGATTTTTATGAAACTTTTTTCTCAATATTTTTTACATTCTGTTACTCCACCCGAGAGCTTAGAGCCTCTACAATTTCTTGTAGAGGATTCATTATCATTGATTTTCGATCGTACCGGTGATAAGCCAGTAGCGACTTATCCTAGCGGTGGGGTTACCACCTGGCGCCATCTAGGAGTGACGAAAATTCTATTGATGGGTCCATAGTAACGTGGACGAGGGGGTGTGCGGGTCCGGGGAGCCGAAATTTGTTACTAATGTTAAGTGAGCGATAGAGCATAGAATTGGTGGAGATTTGGAAAAAGAGACCGTTTCTTTTTCTCGGGGAGCCTGGGGCTCGACTTGAACCCGGGCCTTCCGGACCGGAGGCCAGTGCTCTACCTGCTGGGCCACCGCCCCCCCAATATAAGAGTTGTAAAAAAACTTGATATTCAAAAATCATGCTCATGGGATAAAAAACAACGATGTTATCAATTTATTTCCATTAATTCTATATATATTTTTTGATCTCTCCTATGGCAGCTATACGATTGAGTTATCCGATTTTGATAAAATTTAATCCGAAATTCAATAACAGTTAGAAAACGCCATCTGGAAGAATTCAAGTCGATCTGATCAAGAACAACGGCCTGAGAATTTTTTATTTCATTCTCTCGTATTGGAGCTATCCGATATAGTCGGCCGATCTGGCTCGTTCCGACTTATATACTGCGTGCAATAACTACACACCTTTTGGGAAAGTTTCAGCAAGATAGCTTTAAAACTGAGAGACTAGTTTGAAGAGAAACAGACAGACGGACAGACGGACAGACGGCCAGACGGACAGACGTACATACATATTTCGATTCAGATGGTGATGCTGATCAAGAATATATATACTTTATGGGGTCTGAGGTGCCTCCTTCACTGCGTTGCAAACTTCTGACTGAAATTATAATACCCTTTTGCTCTGCAAGGGTATAAAAAAATGGGTCCGTCGAATATGGGCAACCCTGTATAGAGTTTTCTAACGACTCTTAAATTACGAATTTAATTTTATCAAAATCGGACAATTATATCATATAGCTGCCATATGAACATTAGTCGAAAATATGAAAAATTTATACTACAATATTATAATGTCGTCATAGCTTTGATGTTGTTTAGCCTTTATGCATTTAATGAGCATTCATCAAATATGACTGCAAGAGTAGGTACATATGTATGTATATAAGCTTCGGCTTGCCGAAGTTAGCTTCCTTTCTTGTTTTTTTTTTTATTTTTCCTACGGCATCCATATGATTTAAACGTTCGATTGCAGCTATGTACATAACATATGTATACTATGTACTTGTAATGACTAAAAGACAAGTGAGATAAATTTAACACTCACTGTGTAACAAACTTATGACTTAAACTTTAACTATAAGCTATAAATATAGCTGCTGAAGTCGATAAACATAATATATTTATTAAACAACTTCAAATATTTTCGTTTTATATGTATTTTTTACATATAAACGATATACATATATAACGATTTTAGTTTAACTCGCTGGAGTAGTTACATATTTACATATGTCTAGCTCAAACATGTTTTTATATATGTACATATATAGATATGTATGTACATATGTTAATATTTGTTCAAGTTAAGTGTCATAGGTTGTTATCGGCAAAAGATCACAAAATCACTTGGAAATATCGTGAATTTCAAAAAATGTTAATACAAATTTTTTGGTTGATCTCCTAAGTACACTAAGAACGGGAAAATAAAAAGAACCACTTTTTTTAATGTTATATTCTTTATTTGTACATAAAATTATTTGTGTTTTAATAAGCATTATACAATTTGAACTAATTTACCCGTAACTAACTTGTATGTATTTTATACTGCACAGTAACGAAACTGTTACTTTCTAATGGAGTAAACGAGTTTCATACTGCCTATCATTGTGGTGTGTTTCTGGCCATGTTGTAAATCGGTTGCTTTTGGCTGACTATTGGCTTCAGTAGTAAAAAAATCTTTATCAGTTATAAAAGAGTTTTACCATACACGTTAGTCTTTTGTGAATGGTTAAAAATTCAATGTGAAAATTGAAAATACAACATGACATTATAAATTAAGTTACTAATAATGCGTTACAATGTGTTATATTAAAATAAACTAAATACAAATAGTGTAACTTAAAAAGCATTGGTGCGCAATAAACTTGTTCAACTTATATATGTATGCCCTACACTGTTTTTTTTTTTGCCTTCTTTTCCAGGTAATAACTTATTAGTTGCGTGCAGTACACATAAAGAGGTAGAGGTTGTAGCACAGTTAACAAAGCAATGGGAGCCCTTCCACAAATTTATTGGCGACATGTTTTAATCCGCCGAATTGCGCTAATACTAACGTGCTTGTACTTTATAAACATTAATTATCATATTTTACCAAGTGCGAAAGCAACAACTGCCAGTGGAGTATTACGATCTTTGTCAGGAAATGGAAATCATCGTTTACCACGTACAAGTGCCAGCCAGCTTACCAGTGGAAACAGTGGAACCACATATTTTAAATTTGCTTCAAAATCACTAAATACAACAAGGAATGGAAATCTACGCATAAGGTAAGAGTATTCGGGGCTAAATTAAATATTTCACATTTAAAGTTAAATAATTTACGATATCGCTTATAAGGTGCATTAAAATGAATAATTTAATATATTTTTAAATATTTTGATTAAATTATCATACATCAATACAAATGTATGTGTGTGAAAAATTGTATAGTATCGTTAAATTTTTCAGGAAATTGGTTACACTAACAAATCTTTGAACCTACATTCCCGTTAATGTACATGTGCCTTAAGGCAGGTGCTCACCTTGTAGGGCCTAAAAATGGACATTTTTTAAAAAAATGGTTTTGAGAAAACGCTTAAAGATAAAAATCTGAAATTTGTAACATTATTTGAAAACATATTTATTTTGCGAAAAAAATTTCAAAATTGAAAAATAAAAAAAGGGGCGGGAGGGGGCGTTCCTCAGTTGCAACATTTCGGCAAAAAGGTGTCCCGCTTACGGAAGTGATTCAGCCAAAACGGGTAATCGGAAACACAAAAACCAAAAAGATTCTTAAAGTGTACAGTACTGTGCATAAAATGAACTAGGATCAGAAAAAAAATGAAAATTCCAAAAGTTATTAGCTTTTGAAAAAAATTTCGATTTTCGCGCTTTTTTTCTCACTAATTATTTTCTCAATTAAACAGTTTTCAATATTTTTGGATAATCCTAGTTCATTAGTTAAAGGAAACAATTAGGAACATTTAAAAAAGAATTTGATGACGATTGGTTAACCTCAACGCCTTCAATTACTTCCGTAAGGTCCGAAAACGTGGTTCCGAGATAAACGCGCTTAAAGTTTTGGCTTCCAATAGCCGGTGCTCGACATGTGCTCCATGTAAGGGCCTGTAACTTTTGTAATATTTTAAATTTAGATTTGAAATTTTTTGAGAACATTTTCGGAACATATATCTATACCATTGATTCCCAAAGTGGTCCAGGTGGACCACAAGGGGTTCCCGGGTGACTCGACGGGGGTCTACGTTCGGCGTGACAAAAAATGGGGGTCTACACTTTGTGAACGGGGGTGCATGAAATTTAATTCTGTTTCGATAGTGAAGAACTAAAATGTTGGCTTGACTTCTTCTATCAATATCGGCAGATAATGTTTTAAGAAGCTCAGCGACTGCTACTTGCAAAAACATGTATAAAAATATTCCATATTCAGCACAACAGTGAAACAGAAGTGGAGAATGTGATATTACAACAGGAGCTACTCGAGCCAAGCACTAATGAGGAGCTGAAAGTAACATTTAAAAAAAGGTTTCAAAAATTTTGGCTGCAGGCAAAAATACCTAACTAAAACTGTGGACAATAGCGCAAAAGCTTCTTATAGCGTTTCCCTCGTCAAAAAAAGTTTTAGTGGCGTTAGAAAATTATCAACAAAAAAAAAGGAGCAGATTGAATATCACAAAACGGGGAGATTTGCGGTTATTACTTAAAAAACTCAAGCCAGATATTGATAATTTGCTAACAAAACATCAAGTACACCCATCTCATTAAAATTATATATTTTTCGTAGTTACCATTGTAGAAGTTACATTACGTTATAAGTGTTTAATTTTTATTACGTTACGACTATTAGAACAATAATAATTAATATTGTGATAATTTCAATATTTGAATATATACCTGCAACACAATGAAATACCTACATCTTCGTTTTGATGTTTGTTTAATTATAATTTGTGAGAATTGATTTAGCAAAGTTTTAAAAGTGGTCTATGAAAGAAAAGAGTTTGGGAACCACTGATCTATACGATAAGCCAAAAAAAAAAATCAATTTTTTTTGCCACAAGGTGAACCTGCTTTAAAAAAAACAACGTCGGCAGAGTCCATGCACAAGTCCAGCTAAGAAAAACACAAAAAATAGAACAGTGGCGTAGCAGAGTCAAAAAGTTTGACTTTTCGGATTTTTCTTGACTTTACGAACTACAAGTTAACTTGCTTTATCTGTAAAGCGAACCAATAAGTTTGAAATATCAACAAATAAATATTTTCAACAGTCTCATATAGACTTAAGGTGCCGTCCATAAACCTCGTGACGCTAATTTTTGGCTTTTTTTTTTTTTCTTATGTCAGCGACTAATCTATCGATGGCTTGTACATATTTTATACGCATAAAATGCGATGATTTCGATGGTGGCATGATGTACATAGATGGTTTCGTCGATGCGTGAAATCAGAAATGCATTTCTAAAAATGTTATGCCTATCAACAACACATATCTATACTAATATTATAAAGAGGTAAAATTTGTTTGTTTGTTTGTTTGTTTGTTTGCAGGGAATAGGCTCCGGAACTACTGGTCCGATTTAAAAAATTCTTTCGCCGATAGAAAGCTATATTATCGTGGAGTTAAATAGGCTATAATTTATTTTAAAAAAAATTAGGGATCCGTAAGAAAATTGCAATATTGTCGCATATAAAGTGAGTTGCTACCTCATCACACCGACAAACACGCTCCCATAGCATTTTAACTCAATTTTTGTGTTCACTGTGAAATTGTGAAAAAAAAAAGAATTTTTATTCAATTTAAGTTGAACTGTGAAAATTATGTGGATCGTGCATTTGAGGATAAATTCACCACTCTGTCCATAGTCCAAAATGCTTAGAGGACGACGTGCAAACATTGGCCGCAGACATCCAAGCCAGCAACAAGTATATTCACGAAACTTAAGCAAAGAGAGACAAATGAGCACGTGGAGATCATTGGCATCATTCAATCGCATGGCATTCCAATATGACCCCACTGCGAACTACAGTGATAATGAAAATTTAGATTGCAGTGCGTTAAAGTTTAAAAGAGAAACGGCTGGATTGTGATGCGCAAGTGGAAAAGTCAAACTGGAAAAGTGTTAAATCACCATCTTTCTATACTTCCATATATTTGAAAAATGTTGCAATATTGACTTTTATGTTGTTAAATTGTGTTGACCAGCGAAGCGGACACAGGACCTCTAGTCTTTTATAATTTTGTTACACATTGTTTCTTTTAGTCGTTGGTTTTTATCTTCCCTGCAATTCTGGCTGTCACCTGGTGTCTCGTGGCATTCAAGCAATCAATGTGTAGGAAAGGAAAAGGGATATTCCAAAGTTTCCCTCTCTTTCTCAGTCTTATTATACGATTTCGTTGCTTGCACCCGACGACGGCCCGACTAAAAATTTGTCTTCTATTCTTTCGTTTTTCTAATTGCACTGTTGTCATTCTCCGTTAGAAACAAAAAATTGGTTACCGATGGAAAATACGGCTGAGGAGCGCTCGACTTATGTGCACTCTTTTGATGTTAAAGTTCTTCAAATATTAAATATAATGTATATATAAACTTATATTAATTATATATTTTATATACACAACATTATATAAATTATTGAACAAAGATACCCATAACACAACATTGATTGCAAATATATATATAACAAGAAAGGAAGCTAGGTTCGGCAAGCCGAAGCTTATATACCCTTGCAGTCATCAAATATTTCGAAAATTTTATTTGCTATTCAAGAGTCGTTAGAAAACTCTATATTCCAAAAATCATGATTTTCTGATAAGAAATAACAATGTTATCATTTTTTTTCCGTTAATTCTATATAGATTTTTCGATCTTTCTTAGGGCAGCTATATGATATAGTTATCCGATTTTGATCAAATTTTATCTGAAATTCAATAACAGTTGGAAAACGCCATCTTGAAGAATTCAAGTCGATCTGATCAAAAACAACGGCGGGAGAATTTTTCATTTCATTCCCTCGTATGGGAGCTATCCGATATAGTCGGCCGATCCGGCCCGTTCCGACTTATATACTGCGTGCAATAACTACACACCTTTTGGGAAAGTTTCAGCAAGATAGCTTTAAAACTGAGAGACTAGTTTGAAGAGAAACAGACAGACGGACAGACGGACAGACGGCCAGACGGACAGACGGACAGACGTACAGACGTATTCTGATTCTACTCGTGATGCTGATCAAGAATATATATACTTTATGGGGTCTGAGGTGTCTCCTTCACTGCGTTGCAAACATCTGACTGAAATTATAATACCCTTTTGCTCTGCAAGGGTATAATAATAACTCACGTGTCATTTATGGTCGGTTATACCCAAAAAAGAAGGGTATACTAAAAGGGTGAAAAATAAAATTGAACTGCTCATTCTTTGCGTTGTGCGTTGATAATTAGTTGTGAAATTACCTAATTTGTGCAACGGGCAGCGGAATCGTTTAATCATGTAAGTGTCGTTAAGATTACAAAAATATTATGTCTTTTACTACAAACTTATTTAAATCTTTTTAGGATTCAGCCTGTATGTACGATAAATTCGTTTAAAAGGTAAGTTTGCTTTAAATTAAAAAAAAGTAATACATACCTATATAATATGTAATAAAAGAAATATTTTTTGTACCATAGATGGACGCAAAACAGTCGTTGTCCTGCAAATATTCCATATAAATGGTAAACAAAAACTTTCTAATTTCATATTATTTATGTACTTGTCGGATCAGATGAAACGGGGCCTACTTTGTTCTCTTGGTCAGAACAGGTGAAGCGGGGCCTTCTTTAATGTGAAGCAGGGACAATTAAAAAAGGAAGTTAGAAATTGAGTGAAAGCATGGCAGAGCAGGACAGATTTAGACTGCTGCCAAGTGAGGTCTGTTCGTTAAGCGCTGACATACATGTTAGAAAGAGATGGCTAACAATGTAAAAGAATTGAGTAGAAAGTATAAATTTGGAAAGCAGACTCTTGGGAAGTCAGTTCAGTAAGCGCCAAGCAAACGAGCAGAACTTGCTGCTAATAATTCGATTAAAAATGGAAAAGTCTAACGAAACCCCGACATACTTATCTCTTATGTTACAAAATAAGATTTATTAATAAAATAAAAAAAAATAAATATATATATATTGTTTTTCATATGAATTTGGGGATGACATTTTAGACATTGGCATAGATGATTTCAATAAGGGTTTTCTCGCAAAAGCCATCGATGACAACATCGCCTCCACGCCATC